CCTGTGTGTGCTAAGTTTTACTCAATGCCTTTAATCCTCACTAGAACCCTGAGAAGCAGACACCATTATGATCTCTGTTTTACCGATACAGATACTAAATAACTAAAAGGGCCTTTCTCAGAACATAGTAGGGAGCAGAGGTCGGAGGGTAGAATTTGTCTTAACCTCACCAAGGATATTTATATTATTTGTTTACAGGAAGCCTGGTTTTGATTAAAATCGGTCTTCGGTGTAAGCATTCGGGCTTGATTTTCTTTTGTGGCGCTTCAGGCAGAGTCATCTGGGGAAGATTCTTGCAGACCAGCCATCTGATTAGGGTTAACACAAGCGTGTCTGGGCTTCCAGACACCTTTTATAACTTATTTTTCCTAATATTCGTCTTGCTAAGTGATGAGACCTGCCTAGAATGTCTGAATGTGTGTGTACATGTGTTATCTCGGTAGAATCAAAAGCCCACATGTATCTGGAACCAATTTGATGGCCTCTGAAAGCTATATATATTGTATATCCATTAGCAGGCTTAATAAAAGGAGGTTGTAAAGTCAGGATTTGCAACAGCTTGGCCAGTAATTCAGTCACAGTAAATAAGATTGATTCCTTATTTGGCTGTTTTCTTCATAGGGATTGCTACCTCAACATGGTCAAATTAACTTGATACAAATCGATATTACTGTGGAATTTCTAAGTGTCATAACTGTTTTATCATTTCAGGGAGCCAGGGTTTAGTTAGTTTAATACTTAGCTCTTTTTTATTTAACTTTAATGCTTGAGAAAACCATTTAGGAAAATGATCAGCCCTCTCAAATTTACATCAAGTGTTGACACTTTTGTTTCCAAGTCTGATTACACCAACTGGATAGATAACATTAGGATCCTGTGGTTAACATGACTTGGATGCCATAAATAACCATTTCTAGTTAAATTAGTTTCAAATTTTACTTAAAACACCTGGGAGATCTTCTCCTTGAATACAGACAAGCAAAAAGCCTCAATACACCTAGGACTGGAGAATCATGTAATGGTAATGGTAATCCTTTGCTTTGATAACAATTTCTGGAAACCACAAAATTCCATGAAAAATTTTTAAGTCTCTTCTCAAGTAATACTGAAATGAAGACTCATAAAATTCAGACTTGAGGGGAAAACTATTATCAGCAAGCAACTTGAGATTTTCAGCAGAGGCAAGGGATTTTCCACTCAGACAATAATAAAGGAAGATTCTGGATGTGATATTGTGATATATATTTAGTCTTTGTTCCCCGAGTTCCTGATATAAGAGCTTCTAAAACCTTTGGTATTTTCTGAGTGGTTGGAGAGGAGCGCCTTTTGTTATTCATAATAAGCCCCATTCAACCACACCTGCGTTCATACTATTGCCCTCTGGTTTGGCACTGGTTGATAGCTTCCTAATGGCAGCTGGTTGCCAGAGGAACCACCCACGTGATTAGAGGGGTGGACCTTTCAGTCCCAGCCCTTGACCTCAGGGGAGGGGAGAGGGGCTGGATGTTTAGTTAATCACCAATTGCCTGTGATTTAATCAATCAGCCCTACAAAATGGAGCCTCTATAAAAACCCTAAACGAGAGGTCACTGGAGAGCTTTTGGGTTGGTGCTGGGAGGGTAATATGCCCGAAGAAGGCATGGAAACTCTGTGCCCTTTCCCGATACCCTCTCTTCCTCACATGCATCTCTTCCATTTGGCTGTTCCTGAATGGTAGGTTTTAGAATACAGCGGTAATAGTAAGTAAAGTGTTTCCTTGAGTTCTGTAAACCATGAAAGTAAATTATTGAACTTGAGGGAACCCCTGATTGGTAGTCCGTTGGAACTGGTGACAACCTAGGACTTGGGCTGGCATCTGAAGTGGGAAGCAGTCTGGTGGGACTGAAGCCTCACCCTGTAGGGTCTGTGCTAACTCTGGGTACAGTGTCAGAATTAAACTTTTCGACACCTACTTAGCGTTCCAAGGGAACTGGAGACTTGCTTCTTTGAAAAACCCACACAGTTGGTGTTAGAAGTGTCTTGTAATTAGAAACTTCACAATTAGTCCTTGGATACTGAGATGTAGGATGTTTTCTTCAGAGAAATAGAAGAAAAGTCTATAATCTGATAATGAGCTCTGAAAGGTTTGTAGGTGAAGAGCTCTACCAAGCACTGGGCTAGTAACCTAACCTTTTGAAAACCTCAGATCAGTCACTTAAAGGGTAAAAGAGGCCTTAGAGAAACATTCGTTTGCTGGAATTGTTAACTTGCGCTGCACCATATCAGCCCATTTCGCCATCATCACCAAATGATCGGTCTGAAATAGCTTCTCAGGATTTTTTGTCTTTAAATGGACTCACAATGGCACTTTACCCATTTTCCAAAATGTTTCTACCACACATATCACCGAACTATGGATCTAGTAATTCGGACATTTTTTTTTTCTTCTAGAATGTGTTTTTTCCTCAAACTACTGTCTTTCACAGTGAGCAAGAAATAGTTTGAGGCACTATTTACCACTAGTCCCTGATTTACTTTCTCATCTCCTCAGATAATATGAATGTAAACTTTTCTGACCACTTACTGCACTCTTCTCTATGGGCCAAATCAGTTTTTCAATAAGAACACATTTTTCCACCTGCATATTCAGTATCTAAACAACATGTGTGCATGGTCAATAGCAGAAGTCGGCACTTCAGATACTCATCAGAAAATTCAACCAGGAATTTGTTCTGTTCTGACACTTGCTAGCGGTTCCATTGAGCCTTCTGGTAGTTGGGAGAAAAGAGCTAATGGGCGTGTTAAATATTTTCCCAGATCCTTTGAGTTCTATCTCCATGTTAGCATGAAACAACTTACCTAGACCGTATTATCTGTTTCCTCAAGACAGGACTTTCTTAGGTCATAGTTAAACACCAATCTGTCGGCCTTTTAAATAGTTAAAAGAAACAATCATTTGAAAAATACTTCTGTAAAACTATAGCCAAGGATGTGTCTGATAAGTTACTTACATAAAGATACATTACTAAACCTTCCTACTATAAGGTGCCAGAGAAAGGTAAATGCTACCTTTTATAGGGGCGCCTGGGTGGCTTAGTTGGTTAAGTGTCCAAGTTCAGTTCGGGGCATTATCTCACAGTTCGTGGGTTTGAGTCCTGTGTCCGGCTCTGGGCTGACAGGTCAGAGCCTGGAGCCTTCTGTGTCTCCCTCTCTCTGCCTCTCCCTGGCTTGTACTGTCTCTCTCAAAGAAACATTAAGAACAGTTTAATAAAAGAAAAATGGGGACTACCTACTCTCATATATTTTCTTTGGTTCTGACTTCTAGAAAGCTGATATTCAAGTTAGACCTCCTGACACCTAAGCACCCAGTGAATCCACTTAAGTTTCCGTGAAGCTAACTCAGCAACATGTTTCCCCCACCTCTCTGCCCCTCAGTCAATGGTTCTCAAGTGGAAGTTCTTTAAAATTACATCCCTCTTCCATCTGGAAATCATTGGGTTAATGACAAATGTACTAATGGAAATGAGTTGTACATGTGGTCAGTATTTTTTTGACCATCTTATTTGATATGCATTTTGACACGCAGGCTGTAGTTCTGTGCAAATACTGTTTTTTGTTTGTTTGCTAAGGTAGATAGAACAGTGCTTTAAGTGCTGTTCGGTGAAAAGCAGCTCTTCTTGTTTGTTCTGTTCCGAACTTGTTTATTAGTCTGATTGGCACTTCTTGCTCCTTTAAAAGTGAATCCCTCCCTTCCCCTAGAGCAGCTATTCATCCTTAAGCTCTCCTTACTTTCCTCTACTTGACACCAAATACTTCGAGGGGGTGGGGATGGCGGATGCTGAATTGTGCCCACATTGATGCTTGAGTATTTCAAGCTACCTCTGTTGTTGGTAGAGCATGGGGTAGATGAAAACCGTATTTTCTATCCTGTTTAACCTGAAAGAATTCCAGTGACGCTCACAATCTGTGGGCTACACAGAGACCCCTGCCTTCTAGCACTTTCTTACTAGTGGAGTGCTCTTCTAGAATTGCCTAGTGGGGTAGCTTCAGGGAGAGAGGTCTGGGACACTGTTTTCCACCTCTGAACTGGGTTCATAAATGTCCTAGTTTCACCATGAGGGTCTTCCTTCTATCTTCCAGGCACGGAGCCTCTGGTTGATTCCAGGCTCCTTCAACTGTTTCCTCTGCGGTCTACGGTAACTCCAGAGGACCGTTCCTTTCCTCCTTCCTCTTTTTCTCTCTCCCACCTCCAAGTACCAAATCCTGAGCATGTTCCCCTGTAACTCTCGCTGGGTTTTGTCCCCGTCTCCTCCTCTCACCGACCCCAGCCTCGGCTGCGGCCCCGTCTGCGGCTGCTTCAGCGGCTCCCCTAGGTCCTGTCAAATCCACCCTCCACCAGCTGCTTCCTATCCGAGGGCTCCCAGCACCCTTCCCCTCTTATCAGCTGGGCTTCTCCGAGGATGCACAGGGCTCCGTGTGGGTCCCGCCCTTCCCCCACCTCCTCATCTGGGCAGCCCCAAGTGCCTGTGTGTCTCCAGCACCCACCAAGCAGTTCCGCCTGGGGCGGATTCACGGAGACCCGTCAGGAAGTCACCTCCCACGAAAAGCCCTCCCTGATCACCCCGCCCCAACACAGGACTGCTCTACATGCGTACCCCTTTAAGCTCCCTTAGCTCCAGGCCTTAGCTGTCCTGGTGCTACCGCGTGCGTCTGTACTCGGCCCCTGCAGGTATGTGCAGTTTGGGGAAGGGACTGTGTCATAATCGTCATTGTAGCCCCGGCCCCTAGCCTATCAGCCGCGTCCCCTAAACCTCAAGAACTCCCTGCAAAGGAACCGGCGCCCCCTGTGTTTTTAACCCAGGCCAGGGTGACCCGGAGCCGGACGCAGTGAGCGAGGAGCCTCCATGGCGTTGACGGGCGCCGCCTGCCCAGTCAGGCCTCAGGGTCCGGTGGGTAATGGATGCGCGGCTGGCTGGAGGTGGCCCTCGGGGTCTGGCAGTCACCCGAGCCCGGGTGCAGCCGGCGAGAGGCCGGGGCCTGGGCAGGCGCATGCGCGCGGTCGTCATGACAACTCCACCGCGGCCTTAGGGGTGAAAAGAAACATGCGGGGCGGCGGGAAGGTGGCGGCTGGGGCCGTGGCCGGGTCTCCGCCTCCCGCCCCCACTACAACCCCTACCACGTCCCGCGCCCCGGCCAACAGTAGCGGTAAGGAAGGGTGTCCCTTCGGCGCCTGCCTGGCCCAGATGGAGCGGGCGAGGGGCGCTAGCCCCGGCGGGGGCTTACTCGCAGCAGCCCATTCCTGCGAGCAGGCTGCCGGCCAGAGGCGGCTTGGCGGGAACTTGGGGGGCCTCCACATGTGGGTGGGAGGGGAGCCCCAAGTTCCACCCCCTCCCTCCCCGCGAGGTGTGTAGATGTTCCTCTAGGGCCTTTTTTTTGTGGAAGCTCCAGAAAGCAGGGCCTTAGGTGAGCAAGAAGGTCCTCGAGCATTGCTTACATACCCCTCCTCCTGCAATCCTGTCCATCTTTTTTTTTTTTTTTTTTTTAAGTTTATTTTGGAGAGAGAGCACACAAGCAGGGAAGGGGCGCAGAGAGAGAGAGAGAACACACGAACGAACAAGCAGGTGAGGGGCAGAGACAGGGAGATAGAATCCTAAACAGGCTTCAGACCTGTCAACACAGAGCCTGATGTGAGGCTTGAACTCATGAGCGCTGAGATCCTGACCTGAGCCAAGTTTTACCACCCAGACGCCCCTGGATGCTTGTTTTAAAGTGTTGTGTGCTTGTAGATATAGAACTGTGCTGGAAGCTTTACCTGTTCCTTACTGTATCGAGCTCTGCCTCTAGCATGAGGAAATTTAAGATGGGAGAATTTAAATAATTTGTTCAAAGTCACTCAGCTGATCCTGGGTAGGCACTTACTCTGACTCACTCCCAACATTTGGATTTCTTCAGTACTTGGCTGGTTCCAGTGTAGGAGGGCATCGGAGCCACCTCAAAAATGAGCCCCCCCACCCCCCATTTTTTTTCCAGAAATTTTAAAACGTTCTCCTAGGTGAAAAATATTTGGAATATAAGACTTTGGCATGGATGAAAAATAACATTTGGGTTAGACCTTGACATTTTCTTGTGTAATTGGTTATTCCTAGTCTTAGCTTTACAATTGGAACCCTGATTTATTATTTTCCCTGAATATGAATACAGGAAATGAATTATTGATGCCATAAAAATCCTGACATATAGTACTTAAGTGAATTTTAAATGAAAGATTGCATTACAGAAAAATATGCCAGAAACTTTTTAATACCTTATTTTATTAAAAAATTTTTAATGTTTTGTTTTTGAGAAAGAGAGAGAGCATGATCAGGGGAGGGTCAGAGAGAGAGAGGGAGACACAGAATCTGAAGACAGGCTCCAGGCTCTGAGCCAGCTGTCAGCACAGAGCCCGACGCGGGGCTCGAACCAGCTAACCGTGAGATCATGACCTGGGCTGAAGTCGGTTGCTTAACCGACTGAGACACCCAGGTGCCCCTAGAAACTTTTAAATAGTTTAAATCCATGGTCAGGTAATAAGAATTTTTCATATAACTTTCTTTAGCTATATTCAGTGTGTAGTCTAGGATTCCTTCCTCCTTTCAGAGAAACAGGCGTTCTAAGTCTGACGCTTTTCTCCTGCATGTCCTGGGTGTGCTGCGGCCATCTAAGGGCAGGCACTGAGCCTCCGATTCTCAGGGCAGTCTTCCCTTTTTAAAACAAGGGTGGGGGCACCTGGGTGGCCCAGTTGGTTGAGGGTCTGACTTTGGCTCCGGTCATGATCTCATGGTTCTGGAGTTCGAGCCCAGTGTCAGGCTCTGGGCAGATGGCTCGGTGCCTGGAGCCTGCTTCAGATTCTGTGTCTCCCTCTCTGCCGCTCCCCCGTTCATGCTGTGTCTCTCTCTCTCTCTCTCTCTCTCTCTCTCAAAAATAATCATTAAAATTAAAAACAAACAAACAAGGAAGGTAGTAGCCAGAAGGGAGGAAACAAGCCCAGTGGGTACACAGCTCCAACAAGACAATGTGTTTGAGATCTGTTTGCTATGTTTCCTGTCGAGAATGCTAAAGTAGCATTTTGCAGATTGAATTCCATGTGAACCATGGTCACATAAGTCTGGGAGATGGAGTATTTTTTTCTCCCTTCTCTCCAGGCTCAACAGTTTGAAGACTCTTTATGCTCCTGAGTGTTTTTAATGTCCAGCGAAGTGTTACATAGATAGGAGTCTGTTTAGATTTGTTTAATGCAGCACTTTCAAAGCTTATCTGTCAATAAAATCTATTCTACTTAGAACATCTTTTTAAAAAATGCTTATTTTTGAGAGAGAGTACACAGCGTGGGGGTCCAGAGAGAGGGGTATAGAGGATCCAAGCGGGCAATGCTCTGACAGCAGCAAGCCCTACATTGAGCTCGATCTCAAGAACCGTGAGATGACGACCTAAACCAAAGCCGGATGCTCAATTGACTGAGCCACCCAGGCACCCCAGAACATCTATGATCATCTCATAGAAGATTACTATTCTAAAGAATACAATTTGGGAAATATTGTGCTAAATTATTATTTAAATACATGAAAACTTCCTAAAATAAGTGAAGGTTTTCTTAGGGACATCTAGACACAAGAGAGGAAATTCTGTTGACATTAAAAATTTTCAGAAAATGACACGGGAAAGCTCACAATATAATGTTAACTGGAAAGACCTAGAACTGTACTGAAAGATTCTAATTTTGTTTAAAAATGCGAATATGTACATATATGAGAAAAACAATAGGGAGGAAACACCCTCAGACCTCAGTTGTAATGGTTCTTTGGGTGCAGGATGGCCAATCAATGCTTATTTCTTTTTGATACTGAAATTTCTAAGTTGTCTGGAATAAGTGGGTTAATTTTTTTAAAAGCTTATTTTTAAAAAACTGTTGAAAGGTTTTTCTGCTTTCCCTTTTAATACAATGTTCCTCATCTTAAAAATCTTGTTTTGCAAATTTATTTAGCAAACTCTTGGGCTCATATAATGTAGAAATCTACTTAGCCAAAATCTCCACAAAGAACATTTGTTGAGATGCAGAGACTCAGAGGCTAGCTCCTGAAGACATTAAGTTGGCTGAGTAGTGCGATCTCTGAGCACAGATTTTTTAAGAGACTTACACAAAAGATAGGACAGAAAACAAAGATAGTGGTATGTGCTTCTAAGAAGAGTGTATATAACAAAGGAAAGAGTGGTATAACAAAGGAAAACGATTTCAATTCCTGCTTTGTTCCAGTCTTCTTTATGGACTGAATAGAGCAAAATCAATCTTCAGAAGGAGAAAAAGGGGAGGGGGGCACCTGGGTGGCTCAGTCAGTTAAGCATCTGACTTCGGCTCAGGTCATGATCTCATGGTTCGTGGGTTTGAGCCCCATGTCGAGCTCTGTGCTGACAGTCTGCTTCGGATTCTGCATCTCCCTCTCTCTCTGTCCCTCCCCCACTCACCCTCTGTCTCTGTCTCTCAAAATAAAAATGTTAAAAAAAATTTTAGAGGAAAAGGGGGTGCATGGGTGGCTCAGTTGGTTAAGCAGCCGACTTCAGCTCAAGGTCGTCATCTCACAGTTTGTGGATTTGAGCCCCATGTTGGGGTTGCTGCTGTCAACACAGAACTGGCTTTGGATCTTCTCTCCCCCGGCTCTCTCTGTCCCTCCCCACTGGTTCTCTCTGTCTCAAAATAAATAAATAAATAAACATTTTTAAAAAATAGAGGAAATGGAAGGCAGGGTAAGTGAAGAGCTTCTATGAGCCAGGCCTCCACTTAGTGTTAGGAGGAACTGACAGCTGTATTCAAAGATGCATCAACTTGCATGGTGTAGAGGGTGTCCAAGAAGCTTTGGGACATGGTGATTCTTCAGATCTTCTTAAAGTTTAGATTTTCCGGTAGAATTTCCTTTATTTGAAGTCATGATAAGAAAGTGTGAGTCACCCTAACTTAATGTGGCAGAATAGTAAGAGGCTTTGAAGTCAGTTTTTATACTCTGCCCTCATTAGCTGTATGATTTTAGACAGACTAATTTTTCTGAATATCCTTTTCCTCAGAGACCAAGTCTATTAGTTCCCCCTTTGTGTCACTTCCCAGTTAGTGTCTGCCTACCCTCAGTGGGTGCTTCTAGGGCTCTAGTTCTCCAAACGGCATTTTCATTCCTCTCTGTTTCTTCTATCCGCCTCACCCCCCCCCCCGCCCCCACTTTATTCTTAATTCCATCTCCTTTTCTTCCTTACCCCTGACTCTATATACCTACACATTCATATCTTTCGAAGAGGTGTAATTTGGGGGGGGGGGGGTAGGGGGAAAGGAAAAGGTCCTGGTATATAATTCAAAATGTGAAGAGTAATTCTTTTTCAAAAGTTCCAGAAATTATGGGCAGTCTCCAGGAAGTTTATTATAATCTGTGTATGGAAAAGTCCAGGAAAATTAATTCTTTCGTATGGCATCTACTTCAGGAAGTGGATGAAGAAATTGAAAAGGGGTAAGGAAGCCAAATACTCAGTTACATAAGTAATATTCACTGATAATCATCTGTGTGAAAATCCTGGAATACTGAGTGATTTGTTTAAAGCCATTTGCAAATGCTTTTTAAAATAGACGTACTTTTTGATTTAGAGAAGTAGATGATGGACATTGTTAGTTTTGGAGGTAGTGGAGTATATAGGAAAGAACACCTGACCAGCAGCCTCCCAAGTCTAGGTTACAGATTCCTGCTGACCTCCTGTGGGCTGGATTTATTTATGAAAGTTGGTGTCATCTGCCAAGTGGAGATACATTGTTTTGTATGTGTGCGAGAGAAAAATTCTATAATAAAAAAGTGTCTGTAAAATCTGTAGACTATTCAGTCCTCAAGTTACTTGGTGAAAATCTATATTGTGATACATACTTGGTTCAGCAGATGCCACTCATGATGTTAGGATATATACATGAGGGGAAAAGTTCTTTCTTTACTGGGTTTCTTATTTGTATTTTAACAGATTGGAAGGAATCACATTAAACATTGCTGGTAACAGTCGCTTAATGCCAGTAGAAAGAATAACAAGTGAAGATTTTTGGATTCTTTCCAGAATTTTAAAGAATAATCCATGTATTAATGGTATATGCCTCCTTAAGACTCGTTACCTCTTGCTTTTATTTTCCTGACTTGAATTATTCATTATAAGGAGTATCCACCTCTATTTATCCGTTTTCTTCAGGCTTGGATGTTAGATATAACCTCATAAGTGATGTTGGTGCATACTACGCTGCAAGACTGCTTCAGGTATTTTACTACAAAATGTTCTTAGTCCTTCTTGTTTTCTCTCAGGAGCCAGTTAAGAACTGGTCCTGGTCCTTTCTTTGGTGTGCAGGGTTCGAGTACCCCAGGCCCGCTAAGTTAACCCTTTATTGCTGATTTCACTTTGGAACTGCCCAAGCTGAAATGCTGCATTATGGCTGCATTTTATTTAAGAAATACAGCATGCAAAACAAACAAAACAAAACATGTGGTTCACCAATCAGAGTAGGTGTACTTTAAGAATAGGCCTTGTTTCAACCTCACATGATTGGCAAATATGTGTATATGTCTGTTTTTTCAGTTAAAATGTTTAAAGCGGCATATATCATTTACTCATTACCTCTCTTAAATTGGCTTTTTAAGTTCCTACTTCCCCAATCTTAACTGCTAAATGTTGCTTCCATCAAGCATAAAAGTGATTTTAAAATCTTCATATCAATGAGATAGCACACAACATAAGGACAGAGTGAAGATTAAAAAAATATAAACTAAATAATTCTCAACAATTACAAAAATGCTGCAAAAATCATCAATGGTATGTTTACACTGAAACCACCTAGTCTCATGGCACACAAAATGACAGTTTTGTAAAATGTTCAGGGTCCTGACCTTGTGCTGTATTTATAACCCTTGAAATACACTGAAAACCCACTTGTGTATTTTATCAGTAGACTACTGTTACCTAGAGATCCTGAGCCTTATTTTGCAAACTTGTACACTATCATTAAATACATAAAGCACATTCTTTGAATCATTGATCAAAAAAGAATATAGTCTTTTTCTTTCATTTATATTGCAATTATGTTTAAATGAGAATGGTGGAAAAAAAAATAAATGAGAATGGTGATTCCCTCCCCCCTCCACCCCCATGGTAGCTTCTTTTGCTGGATGTTCAGATTTTCTATGTTGCAAAGATTTTCTTTGGAGGTAAATGCTTTTATTTAAATAAAGCAGCTCCTAGATTATTGATTTTTTTCATAATAATTACATGTGTAATAGCTTCTTTTCTCTCCTTATTATAGAAACAACATAAACTCATTTATTTAAATCTTATGTTTAATGATATTGGGCCCAAAGGTGGAGAACTGATTGCTAAAGCATTACATGTAAGTATATACCTTAAACCAACATTTTCTTTGGGAATTTAAACTTCTGATAGCTTGTAAACAACATAATCTAATGTTATTGTGAACTTACATTATTGTAGAAATGCATATTTTTATTGCACTTCAATTTATTAAAATGTAACAAGCACCTTTGAACTCATTTTTTAAAAAATGATTAATTTATTTTGAGAGAGAGAGAGAGAGAGTGCTAGATGGGGAAGAGCAGAGAGCCCCACCAACTGAGCCACCCAGGTACCCCTTGAATTCATGAAAAAGTTTTTTTTATAAGTTTATTTATTTTGAGAGAGCAACTGAGCAGGGGAGGGGCAAAGAGGCCAGGGAGCGGGGGAGGAGGAGGGGAGAGAATCCCAAGCAGGCTGCCTACACACTGCCAGCACAGAGCCTGTTGTAGGGATTGAACCCACGAATTTTGAGATGATGACCTGAGCCAGAACAGACACTTAACTGACTGAGCCACCCAGGTGCCCCTAAGAATAAACAGCTTTAGTGAAGTATAATTCACATACGTAATTACTTTTTTTCCATAAAAATGTACCTTTAAGGTGTTGTGCTCTGTGGGTTTTTGTATATTCAGAATTGTGCAACCATCAGTCTGTTTTTAGAACATTTTCATTCCCTAAAGATGCCCCATACCCATTAGCAATCCTTTTCCATGCTTCTTTCACTCCCCAGCCCTTGGCAGACATTAGTCTATGTTCTGTCTATAGATTGCCTATTCTGGACATTTTATATAAATGGAACCTTGGAATATTGTGGTCTTCTGTGATTGACTTAATGCTGTCAAGGTTCATCTATACTGTAACATACTTCATTCCTTCTTATTGCCCAATAATATTCCATGGTTTGGGTATATCCTATTTTGTTCATCTATCAGTTAACGGACATTTGAGTTTCCACTTTTTGTCTATAATAATCCTGTGAATATGCACATTTTTGTGTGCATAGGTTTTCAATTTTCCTTGTTCTTTGATCTTTGGTATATACCTAGAGATCATTTTGTAATGGTGTTCAACATCTTGAGAAACTGCCAAACTGTTTTCCAAAGTAGCTGTCCCTTTTTACAATTCCACCAGCAATGTAGGAGTGTTTTAATTTCTCTACATCCTCCTCAGCACTTGTTACTGTCTTGATTTTAGCCATCCGAGTGGATATGAAGAGTTTTTGTGGTTTTGATTTGCATTTCCCTCATAAATAATGATGTTCAGCATCTTTTCATGTGCCATTCTTTGGAGAGATGTTCAATGCCTATTTTTAAATTGGTTTGTCTTTTTTAAATTGTAAGAGTTCTTTATATGTTCTGGATGTAAGTCCCTTATCAGATACATGATTTGCAAATGTTTTCTCTCATTCTGTAGGTTGGGTTGCCTTTTCACTTCCTCATGGTGTCCTTTGAAGCACAAAATTGTTTAATTTTGATAAAGGCCAATTTATTTTTTGTTGTGTTTTTGGTGTTATATCTAAGAAAAGTTTGCCTAACTCAAAGTCATGAAGATTGACGCTTGCATATTCTTCTAACAGTTTTGTTTTAGCTCTTTTAGTTCTTTGATCCATTTTGAGTCAATTTTTGTATTTGATGTGAGGGTCTCTTGCATGTGGATATTCAGTTGTCCCAGTACTATTTAAGACTGTGCTTCTCCCATTAATTTTCTTAATATCCTTGTCAAATATCGATTGATTATAAATGGTTTATTTCTCTACTCTTTATTCTATTAACCTATATGTTGATCCTTATGCCAGTCCCACAGTATCTTGATTACTGTAGTTTGTAGCCAGTTGTGAAGTCAAGAAGCATGTGTCCTTTTTGGTGTTTCAAGATGTGTTGGCTCTTCTGAGTCCCTTGCATTTCCATATGAAATTTAAGATCAGTTTATCAATTTCTGCAAGAAAAACAAGGATTTTGAGAAGAATTGCTTTCAATCTTTAGATCAATTTGGGGAGTATTGCCATCTTAATGATATTAAGTCTTTTGATCCATGAACATGGGGTGGATTTCCATTTTTTAGGTTTTTCATTTCCTTCAAGTCTTTGTTTTTAATGTACAAGTCTTGCTTTTGCTAAATTTATTCCTAATGTTTTATTCTTTTTGATGCTCTTGTAAATGGAATAATTTTAATTTCAATATTGGATTGCTCATTGCTAGTGTGTAGAAATACAATTGATTTTTTTATACATATACACAATTGATCTCTTGCCCTGCAGTCTCACTGAACTCACTAGTTCTAACAGCTTTTTTGGTGGATTCCTTAGGATTTTCCATAAGATCATGTTATATGCAGAGATGGTTTTACTTCTTTTCCAATCTGGATGCCTTTTCTTTTCCTTGCCTAATTGCTTGGTCTAGGATCTCCAGTACAATGTTAAATAGAAGTGTTAATTATGGACCTCCTTGCCTTCTTCCTATTCTTAAGGGGTTTGGATTAACTTTAAAAACTATTTGTACTTATGTCTTCTAATATTTACTCAATGGGATATTGAAATGTCTGTAGTTTTCTTTATGAAACAATTATCAAGAGTGGAATGAGAGGAGTTAAACTTGGCAAATGTCTGAGAGATTATATTCCTTTTAAAAGTGTTAACAGAGAATATGGAATGATTGCTTAATGGGTATAGTGTCTCCTTATGGGGAGGTAATAAAAACACTTTGTAACTAGCTGTGATGGCTGTATAACACTGTGAATTTATTAAAAGCCAGTGAATTGTACACTTTAAAATGGTTAACTTTGGGTTACGTGAATTTCACCTCAAAAAAAGCATAATTTTCTTAGAAAACAAACATAGATTTCCCAATGAAAGGAAAACTTCTTAAAATCTGCTTCATTTACTGGATATTGTTTGGGCCTCTGCTACCTGGGCGTTCTCTCCACTAAAAAATTAAGGAAGATTTTTATCTGTTGTGAGTAGCTGAATTGTATCTTTAAGGGGTATACCGTATTCTATCTCCATGAAAAATTGTTGAGTCTGCAAATAGTAATATAGTCTTTTAACTCCTGTAATCAAATGAGATTTCTATGGAATAAAAATTTAATGAAGTTTTGCTTCTTTTCCTTTTCAGACGAATACAACTCTGAAATACCTAAGAATGACTGGAAACAAGATTGAAAATAAAGGTGGAATGTTTTTTGCTGCAATGCTACAAATTAATTCATCCTTAGAAAAATTAGATCTGGGTGACTGTGATCTGGTGAGTAAAATGGTTTTGAGGAAAAACTGCCTGGGTACTACACCATTTTCCCTGGAAACCAGAATAGGGAATTTGTTAAAGACCCCAGCTATGTGACAGTCTTATGAATGATTAAGCTTTTTTCCTTGATATCAGAGAAAGCTTTTGGTTTTGAGGTTTTTTGTTGTTGTTGTTTTGTTTTTTACTATTAGGCATAATAGTGCTGTTAATAAAACCAGATTGAAGTATACTATAGAGGAATACTTAGAATAAAATTTTTCCTAAGCTTCCATCTATAACCCTTCTTAACCTATATGGGATATTTTTGAGAAAAAAATTTTTTCTTAAACAAATACTACCTCATTAGAAAGCTCATATTCTAGTTGGGAAAACGTCAATAAAGAGAAGTGCTACAAAGATTGCCAAGTAGGAGGTAATCTGCAAGACAGGGTAGTTTCTAATATCTGAGGAGGTTAATACTTGGTCACAAAGGATGAGGAAACAACGCCTTGGAAGCATCCAGGGCACAACATTCCAGGTAGGGGTCCAGCACACGCAGACTCTAAGATAGTGCTGCCCCAAGTGTCGTCAGGGTGGCATTACTAATACAGACGGTGACTTTAATACTCCTGTATTTATTTTTACAGGTGCTTTATTTTGAGGAATTTACTTATTTTGAGGTTTTCCATTTACGGTAGTGATAGAGTTTTAAAATAAGGTGGAAAAAGTGAATTGATTTAATGGATAACTATTAAATAGTAAAACTGATATTCAAATATGGCAAAAACTACGAGAGGCACATGAATAATGAAATACTGACTCCAGCAGGATTTAAGAACTCAGAAGCCAGAGCGGCTGGACAAGAGAGTTAAGAGTAGCTCCAAAGTGAAGGTGGAGCAGTCTGCAGAGGCCTGTCCAGCAATGTTGCATGGGTGTGGGTCCTAGCCAGGGGAGGAAGATGGGATTATGTTATAAATATATGTCATGGAAAGGCTCTGAGAAGTGACATGAGCTGATTGGTCCTTTAAAAAGATATCTCTGGTTTCTCTGTAGGGAAATTAGAGGGTGACAAGAGGAAGGCCACTGACCACTTAGGAAGTGACTACAGTAGTCCAGGTGGGCGAGAAGACCTGGGGGTGGGGTGGTGGCCTACAGATGGGCTAATTTGGGACCTCTCTTGGAGACAGGATCTCTTAAGACTTACTGATCAATTGGATGGGAGGGTGAGTGGACTGGTGGAGTGCGAGGAGGCTGTATGTTTCTGGCATAACAGCTGGGTGTGTTTGGTGGTATCCATCACAGAAATGGGGGAGCATTAGGCCCTTCTAATAAGGTAAAGAGGGAGGCCTGTGGAAGCTGTGAAAAATGATTAGTAAACCTTTGCCAACACACACAATGAGGGTATGAGTATGCATAACACTTGCACAAGGGTGCTTGTTCTCAGTAGTGTAGAGCCCTATGCTAGCTGAGACCTGCATGTGTGTCTATGTATCTGAGGTCTGCAACACAGAACCTTGAGGACTTAGGAGAAAACCTGGAGGTGAACATCCCAAGGAAATGGATACTGAAACTTCAGAATTCCCTATCCTGTTATAGACAGACTTTAGGCCAGGAAGAACAGAACACAGTGACCATTCATTGCTGAATTTGACCATGCAAGGTTTACAAATGAAATACATTTATTTAACTGAATCCAGATTTCTGATTTTGAAATGGGTTATATATGTTGTCAGTTTCCTTAATGAATTTCCTGTTTTTAGGGAATGCAAAGTGTGACAGCATTTGCTACAGTCCTAACTCAAAACCAAACAATTAAAGGAATAAACCTAAACCGACCTATACTGTATGGTGAACAGGTATGTATTCAGTGATGATAGCTAATATTACTACATGTAAATAAAATGAAGGTACTATTTACTGAAGGTTATGTCAAGATTCGTGAATGCATTATATTTTTAGAATTAACTACATTTACAAACAAAAACTTATTTGAAGAAAAACTGAGTTATGATTTTAGATATTTAAGCAGTAAACGTCATTTTTTATTTCTTGTAAACTCAGATTAACAGTGAGTAAACCTGTTGAGAGGCAAAGTAATTCAGAAAAAAACAAATGATTGTTTTATTTTTTTATTAAAAAAAAATTGTTAATGTTTATTTCTGAGGTGGGGGGGGGGAGGATAGCACAAGCAGGGGAGGGGCAAGGAAAGAGGGAGACACAGAATTTGAAGCAGGCTCCAGGCTCTGAGCTGTTGGTACAGAGCCCCCATGTGCGGCTTGAACCCACCAACTGTGAGATCATGACCTGAGCTAAAGTCAGATGCTTAACCAACTGAGCCACCCAGGTGCCCCCGAATGATTCAAGTTTTAAAGGCAGGATTATAAAAGCTCAGTGTGAAGTGTTTTGTTGTTTTATATTGGTATCACTAAACAAACCACTTTTGAAATTATGAGTAATGCAAATGTGAGTAACTAGCAGCCTGGGAAGCATGGACTTGATCTTATAGGTAAGTTACCTACTGGAGATAAGATGAATGAAAACATGGTTACCAACTGTCAAGGCTTCTCCTTGTTCCTTTAACATCCTTTTAGGAGAAGTGGCAGAGAAGGTTTTCAGATTGAGGACGTGAGATTTGAAGGCTAAATCAAAATTTTCTGGATGAAAGCCTCAAGGAAATAAGTATGTTAAACTATATGAAATCACATCAGACATGATTCCTCTTGTAAGTGTGTCAGGTGTTGTCATCATTCCCAAACCTGTTAATAATTATGAAAAGCTCAAAGGCCTTTCTCAGGTCCAAGCCCTTGCTCTCAGCCTGGTGCTTCTGAAAGCCAGTCAGCTAAACTCTAGCCTGCTTTCTATTCCTCTCCAAGGCAGCCACCACCCTCTCTCTCCCTGTGAGCACTAGTTTCTTCAGTGGCTGTGGAGTAAAATCCCCATGTGCTTCCTCATACTTTGCTCTTCCCAAACATAAGCCTGCAAACCTGTTCCATTTAAGGAATCTCATTTCACTATCTGGGGAGCTTAGAAAGATACTGATGCCAGGTGTCATCTAGGCAAATTGTTAAACTCAGTAAAGGGTTTTTAGATCGATTCACTATTTCTGATTCTAGTTTCCTCCCTTAATAAGGGTAGTCCTTCAACTGAATTTCTTGACCTAAAAAAATGCAATTAAAGCATAAGACAAATATGTATCCTGTCCCATGCAGAGTAATACCTGACCCCATAAGCGACTAGTGTGCATTCGTTAAAATCTAAACTATAGCTTCCCTTTGGGTGTATCTATTTCAGTGTTGGCAATAATTTAAATCAGATACAGGATTACAGAATATCGAACAATAGTAAATGCCTTGCTACAGAACACTTATTTGGGGTCAGGTACTTTTTTGTTAATTCTGTGACGGAAGCAGGAATTTTACTTTTTCTTGCAGAAAAGGAAACAGACTCGGCTAGATGAAATAATTTGCTCAAAGTCATACAACTAGTATAAAAGTCATACAGCTCGTATAATGCAAGTACTTAGACAGTTTTATTTTAAGGTTATTTTGAAAGCAAGAGTGTGTACAAGTAGGGAAGGGACAGAGAGAGAGGGAATCCCAAGCAGGCTCTGAGCTGTCAGCAGAGAGCCTGACACAGGGCTCAAACTCGACAAACTGAGATTATGACCTGAGCCGAAATCAGGAGTCAGATGCCTAACCAGCTGAGCCACCAGGTGCCCCTGGACAGTTTTATTATAAAGCTCATATACTTTTATTATAAAACTCATGTACTATCTGCTATTGCCATGTGGACTCAGTTAACTTTTAAAGCTTTTCTCAAAGTAGTTTTTCTCAGTATTATGTAGAAGTACATAACTTGAGCACACAGTTATCCATGTTTGTATTCAGCATTTCCAGTGACTGTAAAACTTCTTATAAATACAGCAATCACGCAAGAGGACTTACCATAAAATACTCTGACCCATCATTTTAAGACATGCTTGGACTCTGTTAATCTAAAGTGCCTGGTAGGGGCGCCTGGGTGGCTCAGTCGGTTAAGCATCTGACTTCGGCTCAGGTCATGATCTCCCGGTTCGTGGGTCAGGCTCTGTGCTAACAGCTAGCCCAGAGCCTGGAGCCTGCTTCAGATTCTGTGTCTCCCTCTCTCTCTGGCCCTGCCCTGCTCACAATGTCTCTCTCTCTCTCCCTCAGAAATAAATTAAAAAAAAAAAAAAAAAAAGTCCCTGGTAGTCAAATCTTCATTGAGGCTTATATACCTTTTGCCTGGAAGCAGCTAGATTTTGGAATTAAAAATATGCCTTCCAGTGACTAGAAAAGTAAAACATATTTAGAAATTTGGGATGATTATAAAAGGGAAGAACTGGATATCATAGGATTAATGAGTCTTTTTAAAACAGAATCAACATTGGGAAATGTCTTTGTATTTTGTCTAAAGACTAGGAACAGTAGAAATCAAGAGAAAAGTTCAGGAATGTATGGAGGGTGTAAGAAAAATTTAGAGACAGAGGATGACAGCAAGGGAGCTTAATATGCTTAATACATCATGGGGCCAAATTTTTTTTTCCTTTCTGGAATGATTGTTTAGGATTATGGACTTTTTAAAACCAGCCTCTCTTATATCACTGTACCCTGCAAGTGCCTATTGCCGATTTTTAAAATGATAAAGTATCATATGTGGCAAAAATGAGTTTTATTAAAAGCCAAGCCAAAACAAATGAAAATTATAGACTAAGTCTTGATATTTTTTTAAAAAGCTAATTTAAATAACTTAGCATATGTTTGGAATAAACATGTAGAGCTTCAAATTATATTTTAGAAAAAGATTTTACCTATTCTTAGGAAGAGTCCACAGTTCATCTAGGCCACATGTTGAAAGAAAATCACTGCCTTGTTGCACTACACATGTGTAAGCATAACATGAAAAACTGTGGTATAAAACAGCTATGTGATGCACTGTATCTGAACAGAAGCCTACGCTACCTTGATGTCAGCTGGTAAGTGACAATCCATTAATCCAGTAGTCCTGGGAATAATCTATGTAAATATTTACAGTATATACAATACGTTGTTAGACAATAATACCAAAAGTCAGAAAATGCAAGCATTGTTGTCAACTTTTTATCCTAAGCCTTAGTATGTAGTTCATATATTGTATGTCCTACAATGTGGATGAGCAATTTAATCACGAGTGATCCAGAATGGAAGCAACATTTTATAGCAAATTTTCATTAACTTTTTCGGAAACTGATTAAAATCTTTTAGTAAACTAGAAAGTACCATTCTATATAACAATTCTGAAGCATGTTAATCTCTATAAGTAAAAGAAAAAAACTTCGTATTTCCAAATGTAACACATATTTTTCCTTTCCCAGCAACAAAATAAGTCGTGATGGAATGGTGTATTTGGCTGACGTACTGAAAAGCAATACTACCCTGGAAGTAATAGATCTTTCTTTTAACAGAATAGAAAATGCAGGAGCAAAGTATCTCAGTGAAACTCTTGCTTCACACAACAGGAGTCTTAAAGCGTTAGTATGCCTTTATATTTAATCAAAATAACAAACTTAAACCTTTAAAATATTAACTTCAGGCCCCTTAACTCCAGATGCATGATGAAATATTAAAATAGTTTGACATATTAAACATCTCAACATCTTTTTCAAAAGTAATGTCTTTTTTTTTTTTTTTTTAATGTCTGTTTGTCTCTTTCAAAAATAGAGTGCAAGCTGGGTAGGGGTAGAGGGGAGACACAGAATCTGAAGCAGGGTCCAGGGTCTGAGGTGTTAGCACAGAGGCCAACGCGGGGTTCGAACTCCCGAACTGCAAGATCAGGACCTGAGCCAAAGTCAGGCAATTAACTGACTGAGCCACCCATATGCCCCCAAAAGTAATGAATTGATTCTAGTTATGATCGCTTAATTGAGAAAATTCTTACTGCAGACAGTATTTATCCTGAATTCTACAGAAAAATTACAATCATTCAGTATGACCAAGACTGAAAAAATAATGAAAGAAAATACTACTTGGATGACTTAATCCTGAAGGTTGTATTTGTAATCCACTCCAAACATTTACTGAATGATCTAAAAGACTATTGACTTTTAAATATAGGTGGCCATGCTAGGTACATGAAGCATCTAACTAGAGAACTGTTTCTTGGATTCTAGGATTACATTAGATGCTTAAGAATAATGCTAAGATTTTACACAATAAAATGCAATAGGGGCACCTGGGTGGCTCAGTAGGTTAAGCGACCAATTTGGGCTCAGGTCACGATCTCACACTTCATGAGTTTGGGCCCTGCATCGAACTCTCTGCTGTCAGTGTAGAGCCCACTTCGGATCCTCTGTCTTCCTCTCTCTTAAAATCGCAAACTTAAAAAGAAATGTAATAAATTTTGTTGGCTAACTTATGCATCTTCTTTGTGGACTTACTGGTTTCCAGGGTTGTTCTGGTTTCTCCCTAGGTTGTCAGTAGTCAGCAACAACATAGAGGGAGAAGGACTTGTTGCACTTTCACAGTCCATGAAAACAAACCCCACACTCTCGAATGTCTACATTTGGGGAAACAAATTTGATGAGGCTACATGTGTGGTAAGTTGTTTTTTTTCCCCCTTCATTGAAGGCTTTTTCTGGGGTCTTCTCTATAACATCAGACATTTACAGGTGGCCTTAGAAATGATTATAACATAATGGGCACCTGGGTGGCTCAGTCAGTTAAGCATCCGACTTCAGCTCAAGTCATGATGTCACGGTTAGGGAGTTCAAGCCCCTTGTTGGGCTCTGTGCTGACAGCCTGGAGCCTGATTTGGATTCTGTGTCTCCCTCTCTCTACAGCCCCCTCATGCCTTGTCTCTCAAACATTAAAAACAAACCAAAAAAAAAAACTTCAAAATCTTTATAATCTTGCAAAATTTATTTCTTTGTTTTTAATTTTATTGTGAAATTAAGTGAAAAATCTATGTGGAAAATATTAAAATTCAGTAATTTACTCAGAACATTTTAAACTGAAATTAGTACAGTTAATTTGATATAGAAATTTGTTTACTATAAAATGAATAGCCTATTTTATTAATGATAGTTGTTCTTTTCTTAAAAATCATAGGCATATTCAGACTTAATTCAAATGGGCCGTCTAAAACCAGACAATACAGATGTGGAGCCATTTGTGGTGGATGGACATGTGTATCTTGCAGAAGTCTCCAACGGCCTTAAAAAGCATTATTACTGGACACCAACTTACAGAGAAGCTTGCAGTCACTCATCTAATGCAGGTTCTATTCTTGTACCAGTAGGTCCAGATCTATGAAAAACAAGCTCTACAATAATTTTCACATACTTGCCTTATGTTAGTAGTTTATGGCCTACATTCTTCATTCATAAATTACTTCTTGAATGTTAACTTTTTGAAATGTGTAAAAGATAGGACTATATTAAACTTTAGCTGTCCATTGTGGAAAAACTGAGTGATAAAATTTTTTAGAAAAAATTGTATAGGAAAACGAAGATGGCGGAGTCGGAGAACCCGGAATTCACCTCATCCCCCAACATACCAAGGCAACTGCTCCCTGTGCTACAACTCACTGCAAACACCCTGAAACCCCTGGTATTTTACAGGTAAGGAGAAGCGACCCCACAATGGACACCACTAGTCCTGGGGACTTGCACTGGGAAGACCAGTCTCCACAACGTCTAGCTTTGAACATCAGTGGGGCTTAACTCCAGGAGAGCTGAAGGGGCGTAAGAAACCAAGGCTCCACCCTTGAAAAGTCAACACACTAATAACTAAAAAGCAGTTGAAAAGTACCTGGGGTATATGTGAGGGAGATTTATTGCCTTGTGTGAGGATGTGTACAGGAGGGGCAAGAGCTTTCTCCAGGAAAGAGTACTGGTGGGTGCCAGTCTTCCTGCGCTTTCCCAGCCTAGACAGCCAAACATGTATGGAAGCCAGTTCTGACGTTCGCAATCTACCTTCTCAGCACAGTGCGCCCTGCCCTCTCCAACCTGGCCACCTTGGCAGAGCAACTCTCGCTCTGGAGAGGAGGGAGCGAGCCCTACCCATCAGTGTGTCTGCAGCAGTCACCAAGGCTCACTGCAGACAGCTGGGCTATGGGCCAACCCTACCTACCAGCAAACCCACAGCTGCAGCAACCGGGTCTCAGAGCCAGCCGCAGAGGAAGCAAGCCCTACTCATCAGTAAGCCCGCAGCAGGCAAAGCAGATCACTGCAGACAGGCTGTCTACATGCAGAGGCTGAAGCAGGGCTTATTATTACCACTAGAGGATGGTCACTATAGTCAGCTGGGTGGAGGTCTAGCATCAACCCCAGCACGCTGGCATCAGTCACAGATCAACCACAACAGGTTCGGTGACCAGCGAGGACTGTGCTACAGGGAACCACAGGACCCCTTTTACAGAAGGACACTACCTTCTAGACCAAGAGAAGGAGGTGACCTACCTAATTCACAGAAACAGACAAAATGAGGAGATAGGAATATGTCCCAAATAAAGAAGGCAAAACCCCAGAAGAAAAGCTAAATGAAACAGGTAAGCAATATACATGATAAGGAATTCAAAGTAATGGTCATAAAGATACCAGACTTGACATAAGAGTAGATGAATTCAGGGAGAATTTCAACAGATATAAAATTTAAAAACTAGTCAGAGGTAAAGAATATAATAACTAAAATAAGACGTGTGCTAGAGGAAATCAGTGGATTAGAGGATGCAGAAGATCAGATCAATGATCTGTAAGATAGGGTAATGGAAAACACCCAGGCTGAACAGCAAAAAGAAAAAAAATGATAAGTTAAGGGACCTCTGTGATCTGTCAAGTGCATGAACATTTGCATTATAGGAGGTTCCAGAAGGAGATGAGAGAAGGGGGACAGAAAACTTATTTGAAGAAATAATAGCTGAAAAACTACCTTAACCTGGGGAAGGAAAACTGACATCCAAGTGCAAAAAGCAAAGAGAGCCTTACAATGAACCCAAAGACATATAATTAAAATGGCAATACATATAATTATGTATAACTATACGTACATAATATATACCAAGACACATTAAAATGACAAAAATTTAAGAGTGAATCCTAAAAGCAACAGAAATGCAAACTTACATACATGGGAAACCCCATAAGGCTATCAGCTCGTTTTCAGCAGACACTCTACAGGCCAGAAGGGAGTGGCATAAAGTGCTGAAAGAAAAAAAACAGCAAAATACCCCGCAACCAAAATATTCAGCAAGATTATCACTCAGAACTGAGGTAGAAACAGTGTCCCAGACAAACAAAAGTAAAACTAGTTCAGTAGTGATGATTTCCTTTAACAAGAAATGTTAAAAGAAATTCTATAAATGGAAAGCAAAGGCCATAACTAGAAGACAATTATGAGAGGAAAAAATACACAGTAAAAGCAAATATATAGTTAACTTAGATCAATCACTTGTAAACCCAGTAAGGAAAACAGAAGTAGTTTCAGATTAATTACAGCTATAATTCAACACCAAACCCCAGATAATCCAACTAAAAATGTGCAGAAGACTTGAATGGACATTTTTTCAAAGACACATAGATAGCCAACAGATGCATGAAAAGATGCTCAACATCTTTTTTTTATGTTTTATCTATTTCTAGGAGAGAGAGAGAGAGAGAGAGAGAGAGAGCATGAGCAGGGGAGGGTCAGAGAGAGAGGGAGTCACAGACTGAAACAGGCTCCAGGCTCTGAGCTGGCAGTCAGCACAGAGCCCGACGCGGGGCTCGAACCCACGAACCGCGAGATCATGACCCAAGCAAAAGTCAGACGCTTAACCGACTAAGCCACCCAGGTGCCCCAAGATGCTCAACATCATTAATCGTCAGGGAAATGAAAATCAAAACCATTTTATCACCTCACGCCTGTCAGAATGGCTAGTACCAAAAAAAAGACGAGAGATAAGTGTTGGTGAGGAGAAAAGGAACCCTTATGAACTGCTAGTGGGAATGTAAATTGGTACAGCCACTATGGAGAACAGTATGGAGATTCCTCAAAAAAACTAAAAACTACCACACGATCTAGTAATTCCGTTTCTAATTCTTTACCAAAAGAAAACAAAAACACAAATTTGAAGACATGCACCCCTATGTTTATAGCAACTTTATAATACCCAAGACACAGAAGCACCTTAGGTGGACGAATGGATAAAGATGTAGTGCACATATACACGATGGAATATTACTCAACCATAAAGAATGAAATCTTGCCACTGGCAACATCCGTGGACCTAGAGGTTATGTATGCTAAGTGAGGTAAGTCAGACAGAGAAAGACAACTTATGCTTTCACTTTTATGTGGAGTCAAAAACAAAAGAAAAAGTAACAAAACAGACTCATAGACAACAAACTAGTGGCTGTTGGAAGGGAGGATAGACAAAGGGATTAAGAGGTACCAACTTCCAAATTTATTAAATAAATCAGGGGAACCTGAGTGGCTCAGTTGATTAAACAACCGACTTTTGGTTTCAGCTCAGGTCAAAATCTCACTCTTGTGGGTTCAAGCCCTGCACTGGGCTCTGTGCTGACAGCGTGGAGCCTTTTTGAGATTCTCTCTCTCTCTCTGCCTCTCCTCTGCTCATGCTCTGTCTCAAAATAAATATTTAAAATAAGTCAGTCATGAGAATGAAAAGTATAGTTCAGAGAACATAGTAATATTGCAATAACACTGTATAGTAATAGGTGGTAACTAAACTTGCACAGTGAGCATTTTGTATGTAATTGCTGAATCACTATGTTGTACCCCTGAAACTAATATGTCACCTATACATTGATTAAAAAAAAAAAAAAAAAAGGACTGAGGAGAAAAAAGGAATAAGGACTAAAATTTTAAGCATGGTAGAAAAAAAATTAAGGAACTAAATTTGTTTTTAAAAAGAAAATATTAAGTAGTAAAAATAGCCTAAAAAAGTAATGGTCATTATTAGGTATCCTAACTGCAAGTTGCCATGAGGTTGTAAAAAAGGTTCAGGTGGTAGGCTGTCAGTGAATTTCAGGAGGTTCAGAAGTAGAAAAAGTATTTTATATATTTAGGTATTATGTGTATTGACAGAATCTCACAAATATAAGCAAATATATTATAAACATACAAATTACAAATACATATAAGTGGATGCTTTCCAAACAAGTCAGTGACGCCAGTGAACTTTTTAAGATCGTTATTTTTTAGAAGATGCCAGTAACGTTTTTTAAAAGAGCTGTTTTTATTTTTTAAAATTGTTTATGTATTTGAGAGAGGGAGAGTGCACAAGTGGGGGAGATGCAGAGAGAAAAAGAGGGCGGGGCGACAGAGAGAAAATGAATCCCAAACAGACTCCATGCTCCGTGCATTTCTGACACGGGGTTCAATCTCACAACTGGGAGATCATGACCTGAGCCAAAATCAAGAGCTGGACGCTTAACTTACTGAGCCACCCAGATGTTCCAACATTTATTTAAAAAAATGTTTTTTAGAGATTTTTTGAGACACAGAGAGATAGCACACACACGAGCTGGGAGGGGCAAAGGAAGAAAGAGAATCTTAAGCAGGCTCCATGCCCAGCTCGGAGTCCTATATCGGGCTCAATCTCAGGACCGTGACGTCATGACATGAGCTGAAATCAAGAATCGGATGCTTAACCCACTGAGCCACTCAGGCACCTGAAGATGCCAGTAACATTTTAATGATTTGATGGCAACTAATTATTGTCGTCTATGGCCAATCTTATTTTCAAATTAAGATTCCTATAAGGATGGGGTGCGTGGGTGGCTCAGGAGTGAAGACTGCTTAGGATTCTCTCTCTTTCCCTGATGAACATGGATGCAAAAATCCTCAACAAGAGTAGCCAACCAGATTCAACAATATATTAAGAAAATTATTCACCACGACCAAGTGGGATTTATACCTGGGATGCAGGACTAGTTCAATATCCATCAAACAATGTGATACATTACATCAATAAAAGAAAGGGGAAAGGGGCGCCTGAGTGGCTCAGCTGGTTAAGCATCCGACATCAGCTCAGGTCATGATCTCACAGTTAGTGACTTCAAGCCAATTGTTGGGCTCTATGCTGACAGCTCAGAGCCTGGAGCCTGCTTTGGATTCTGTGTGTCTCCCTCTCTCTCTGACCTCTCCCCCTGCTTGCATTCTGTCTCTCTCTCAAAAATAAATATTAAGAAAAATTTTAATAAAGAAAGGACAAGAACCACACGATCCTCTCAACAGATGCAGAGAAAGCATTGACAAAATACAGCATCCTTTCTTGATAAAAACTCTCAAGAAAGTAGGGGTAGAAGGGTCACACCTGAAGATCATAAAAGCCATTTATGAAAGCCCCACTGATAATATCATCCTCAACGGGGAAAAACTGAGAGCTTTCCCCCTAAGGTTAGGAACACAACAGGGATGTCCACTCTCACCACTGCTATTCGTTGTGTTTTTTTTTTTTTTTTTTTAACATTTATTCATTTTTGACAGAGAGAGAGTATGAGCA